ATCTCATATTTGCATACCATGGTGGCAAACCTAACGCAGCGTCATTTGACATGGCAGTTGCATTTGTACATCTGTTGGCACTTGACCATAGTTTGCCATTGCAGTTTGTATTCTAACTTCATTTGGAATATTCTCTGGGTTTGGTTGTCCAGGTTGCTGTGCATTCGCTAAGTTCTGTGCGTCCATTTAATATTAGATAAAAATATCTCTTACGAGTACATATACTGAACATTTGCAGGCATTGGTTCATCTTCATATTCTCTATATCTTTCTGCCACGTCAAAGAAATAAATGACACAATGGAAAAAACCTAAAAAAGTAGTCCTATTTCAAAACATTTACTTACTAATAAAATTTCTTTGTTATGACACTTTCTCCGGTTTATAGGACCTCTCATATTCTATCTTGTCATATTTAAACACATAGTCGTTTATATCTTCTAACCATCTCATAACGGTTTCCAACCACTTTTATCGGATGTAAAGTAAAAGCATGGATGGTTGTAAACGTCTAAAGTTTCTAAAGAGTCTCTCAAAGTCCAGCTACTTGGTATTGAAAATCCATGTGTTAGAACGGCGGGTCCACTATAAAGAAAACATTTTCCTTGTCTTTATTTTTCATACAACTCTGTCCAATGACATCTCACAAACTCTATACCCTCAATATATTTTTCTATGTCCTCTTTGAAAACATTTGTATAGTTAAGATATAAAACGTTTGACATAAGTGTTTCAATGTCATGAACTCTTATAGAACCACTATATAATAGTCTAGCAGATATACTATCCCAGTCTATATTCTGCTTTTTTCAAAACCTCTCTCACAATATTTTTCTTATCTAATGGTATACGTTCCATCTTACCTATAGGTATCTTTTCTTTAACTCTTTCAATATTTTTTTTGTGTCTGGAATATGTTTGAGACGGTCCATATAGTTGTCGAAGTCATTGCATATAATCTTTGAGTCTGGGAATATTGTATGGCACAAATGGGATATATAGAAACTTCCACCGAACAAATCTCAAATGTTAGACCATTCGGTAGTTTCTTAAGTTCTCTCAATATAATATCTTTACATTTACTCTTATTTCCAAAGAACGGTAACGGTGGTTTTGTAAAATTCATTATATATAATAATAAAATGTTTTTTCCTGAAAAGTGACAGAAAAGTGACAAAACATGAAAACATATATAATTTGTGAAAAGCGACACATTATATAATGTTTTCGACCCAGAAGAAGGCTTCTTCCCAGAAGCAATGGAGGAAGAAGAAGAGTCCTCCGAATTCACACCAGAAGACTAACAATTTTCCGAATAAAAACTTCATTTATACTAAACATCTTCGGGGCTAGAGGGCACGAAGTGCCTGGAAGCCCTCCGAATAAAAACTTCATTTATACTAAACATCTTCAGGGCTAGAGGGCACGAAGTGCCTGGAGGCCCCACTACCTTTTTTTTTTTCTGGAGTGTCAATTAATAACAATCCCACAACAAGTAAAATTCAGATTTTTATTAAACTTATTTTTTCCTAAAAGTTTTCTCAAATTACTATATATACATATGTGGATAAAATAAAATAAAAAAAAAAAAAAAAAAAAGGTAGTGGGGGGCCTCCAGGCGCGTTGCGCCCTCTAGCCCTGAAGATGTTTAGTATAACTTTGTCCGGACAAGTAAGGGTCTATCGTCGCTACAGGAAAAGTTACAGGCGTTCCACGGAAGTAAACTTTGAGAAGCCTTTTTCCCCTTATAGAATGAGATAGGACGGTTATTTTACAAAACTGACAACACTTTGACCGAGTAGTTTTTTGAGCTGAACAAAAAGTGTCATATAAACATCTGTCAAAAACCGCTTTTTAACTTCACTTAAAATGCCACGTAAGCTACGTAAGAATATACGTAAGAGGAAGGGAGCATTGAAACATCCATAGTAAAACTGACACCACAACAACAGTTGCAACAACAAATGATGAATGACCCACTATGTTGCAACAAATGTCAAGCAACCCTATGCTTTTAAACCGAGTTATTGGTGCACAGAGTGGAGGTTTAAGAGCGGCACTTTTAGCGAAAATGGCAGGCTATGGTGGAGCTGCAGACGGAACAGCTTATAACCCTCAAGTCAAATGAATTTGAGTTCACTCAAAAATCAAATAACAGATTCAAAAAGTCAAACATAGACATACAGAAGCAAATAAGTGAAACGAAAAGAAACTAGAATATGACAGACACACAAAGAAACTAAATGAGTTAAACGTAGAGAAAAAAGAAAGAAGACAACTGAAAGAACTAAGTACAGAGGAATATGCGAAAAAAGTGTCAAAAAAGCAGCAGAAGTAGCAAAAATGGAACAAGATGTCATAAATTTGAAAACCATACTACTCAATATAAAGTACTGAAAGATGAAGAGATAAAACAAAAAGCCATGAAGACATATATGGATAGCGATGAGTATAAAAAAGAAGTTGAAAGCAAATGTAAAGGCAGAAAAACTTTTACAGTTGCAAAACCAAACCGTACAGTATGAAAACTTAGCACAAGAAAGTAAAAATAACGACGCAGCCATGCAAAAGGCAATGAAAAGCGCAGAATATATAAAAGCTAACATGACTGGTTAGATGCCCAAGCCAACGCTAAAGCAGCCCAACTTATAGGGTCAATAAGGACAAAAATACAAGCGGATGAAGACAGTTCAATGAAGCTTTAATGAATGCTGACTTTAAGAACGCCTTCGAACTCTTCATAGTAAGTGTGAAACTAGTGAACGACTTCTCATCTGGAAAGAAACTGAAGTCTGAAGGTTTCGACAAAGAGTTAAGAGAAGTAGCACAAAATATGACGAAAATAACAGATGGCAGCAACGAGACAGGCAGTTCAAAGTGCCTATGACGCCGTTAGAGCAACTGTTGTGGAAAGTCAAAAAAAGAGTTACAACAGACCAAAACAGACCTAGTAAATGCTTTCTTAAAAACGAAAAGTCAGGTCGGACATTATGCTGCAGATGGAACATATGTGCCAGCTGGTGGAACTTATATACCAGCTGGTGGAACTTATATACTAGCTAGTGGAACCTATATACCACAAACCCTCCAAGAGAAGCACCTGCACCAGGACTACCTAAAACATTTACATCGTCACATGGACACAGACACAGGCATGCAAAAACCAACACAAACAACCAACAGTTCAAAATCCAGCACCACAACCAACCAGCACAACAACCACCTCCACAACCAGCACCACAACCAACAGTTCAAAACACTGCACCACAACAACCACAAACAGAGCAAGGACATAAAAGAAGTAGAGAACAAGGAAACCAAGATTTCTTAAAAATGCTTAAAGAAGACTATGGTTACCCAGCTACTCTTGACTTTAGTGACAGATATAAAGAAGCTATTAGAAAGTTCAAGGAAGGAAATACTGACCCGAACCTATTTAGCTTTATGGCTCAGCACCAAATGGGATATAATTTCAAACCTGGAAAATACAAGCTCGCTAAGGGATATGATTTAATAGCATATCTCCAAATGACATGACTGAATTTACTCCGAGATATTTGGTGTCAGAGCTTAAATGACAATTCAACTTTCTTCATGAAACGCGTAAAATAAAGACGGAACGAAGAAGAAAGGTTTATGAGTCCGGATGACTTTTAGGGAACTTGTTAAAAACGGTCTCGGAATATATGAAATGCCAGCAGATGAGGTACAAGAACTCCACAGGAAGAAGTTCAGATACAACCAGACATGGAAGAAAATAGTTCAGCAACAACAGCTAGAAGAGCCTGAAGGAAACGAACAAGTCCCTCCTTTGGAAACTAACTTCACAGAACCAGATGAAGATTTGGAACAGCCGAAAAATATTGACCTCAACAAGAGTATGAGGTGAATATGGAATCTTTCCAAGAGTCTAAGAAAATTCGGCTGACATGGTAGAAGAATATCGAAAAATGTTTGCCGACATACAAAAGACTCCAACATCAGATGAAAATATTCAGCATAGAATGGAGAACTGAAAGAAAATGTACACAAATACAACAACCCTTTTTACTTACGAGCATATAACGTTAATCTTTGGATGAACTCGGTGAAAATAAAAGGTTAAATTTCAACAAAACATATGAATGAAACATTGTTTAAAGTTCATTCAGAACCTAACCAATATGGAAACAAACCTACTTTTGTTTCTGCAGACTATGGAACTACAATGAGATGGGTCATAAAGCTAACCCGGATAGGTGGTTCATAAACTTACAACCACAATTCCAAGAAGTTGTAGACGCAATGGAAGTGAATGGTGAACCAGATTTAGCTGGTATTTTCAGCGCGGCTTTAATGCCATTGAAAGATATGAAAGATGCAGATATTTTGAACCAGTATGAAATGAACATGGCTGATGGAAATATAACACCTGACGTTCTAGAACATTTATCTCAAAGAACTACACAGAACCATAGAGATGGTATATTTGGTGAAGAGTTTAGAAAGAAAGTTAGGGAGATAGAAGGAAGAGAACCTATTGTACATGACCTTGCAAACGAAAGTTTACAAAATGTCATAAAAACTTACTTTGCAGACAATGAACCGAGAAGGGATGAATATTTAAGAAAACTCAAATGGACAGTACAAATGAAATGTTAGTATTGAAAAACATGTTCCTTGACAAAATAAAACCAACTACAGAAATAAATGACCCAAGACTGAAAGATTGGGTAAAAGCTTTCCCATTCACAAAAGATATTGTTGGTAACATGGAAAGAAAACCAGAATGGCTACAAAAAACATATATTTGGAAACGAGCTTATTCCATATGGACAAGCTCTGTTTGAAGAGCTTGAACCGGAAACTCAGGAAAGAGTCATGCAAACAATACGCGAAGACTCAAATACAAACTATGACAAAATCTTTCTAGGATATAGGTTACCTGAGATGGGCGACCAGAGCCTAAAGGCAAAAAGGACACGTGAAATTTGCAACATACTAGATGAACATGATGCAAAGATGCAACAACTTGAAGCAGAGGGCAAGTTACCAAAAGCGACACCAAAGAAGAAGAGAAGAGTAGAACAAAGTGAAAGTAGTGAAGATGCAACTAGTGAAAGTAGTGGCAATGAAGGAAAAAGAAGAGTTAAAAACTCAGTCAGGAAGAAAGTAAAGCTTGGTCCGAGTGGGTTCTATTATGACACATAAATCCAACTATTCTATATTTTTACCCATATGAAATGTACGCCGCTCAGAATATAACGCCAACAGTTTTGGATGCCATGAACGGAAATGTTTCCGAATGGTATAACGAATGCGACAATGCCATTAGAAGGTCAGAAATAGTTCCTGGAACTTACGAATATACAACTGCTGTTTCTTATGGAAACGTAGGTGAGTTTGGAGAAGGTTCTTCAACAACAGTAGATATTGCTTGCGACAGGTTTCATATTATTTCTATTGACAACTCATTCTTATACGTGGAACAAGACATTGAAATAAAACCTTCTGCCAAGTTGTCTGACAAGAAAGGTTGCAATGGAATTTTCTATGTCGGATACCAATATGCTCCAGAAGTTTTCATGGGATATAAGATATATTCTAACTCTGACTTAGTTCAAACAGTAACATGGGCAAACTATGAATGGTTCGCTTTAAGAAACTCAGTACAACCACAAGCTAGAGAACAAACAGACCAGTATGCAACTATTGAGAAAATAAGAAGACTTGACCCTAACGTTCCAGGAGTTTATGTTGACCTTTCTGGACAAACTGCAGCAGCAGTAACCAAAGTAAAATGAAACTTAGAGTTCCTTTGTCATCTTTCCTCATCTTCAGGTTTTTAAGATACTTGCCAAACTGGGCAGGAAAAATTTCTATCGAACTTACTCCAAGCAAAAATAACTTAGTCATTGCACCAACACAAGACCCATTCACTCTTACTGTAGCTGGAACTGGTGGAGCCAAGTTCTGTGACTTTTGCAAAGGCAAGGTTGACTTAGACTTTGGTTTCTCAAACCTCAACACTGAAGTAAACTATTATTTCAATGCTGCTGGAACTGCTTGGGACCCAGTTAAGTTCACATGCGAAAAATTTGAATGCAAGAGAATAGAAAGCAGACTTGCAGTCTATATGTTGGACCCAGATATTTCAAATGCTTTAGCTGCCAAATATATTGCAGTTCCACTTATGTTCCCTATACACCAAATATCTGTCAAAGACTTTGCAGGTGAAGTTGGAAACCAAAGTGCTGACCCAGGTGCAAGAACAGATATTGCCTTAACAACTGCAATGAAACATGCAGATACTATGTTTGTACTGTTCAGACGAACTATAAATGACTATTCTTGTTTCTACAACCCTGGTATTAAATATCATATAAACATAGATGGCAAATATTATCCAAGAGAAGAATATTCTACAGTTGAGGATATGAGGTCATACAACTTGACATTAGATGCTATGAACTTTAACAACAACTTCACAACAACCATTAACCCTGAAATGCAAAGTTCTATTATGCCATATGTGAAAGTATGGACTCATACAGGAGGTCAAAAACTCAATATACAAATGGAGACCGTTCAAACTTTTGGCTTGGCATTCCATTTGCTGACTCAGAAGACTTTATGGGTGGTATTTCAACTGTTGGTACAGTTCAAATACAATATACTGGTGACAGAGACGGTCCAGATGAATTGAAAGCAAAGAAGTTTACAAAACCAATAGCACTTTTCACGGAAGATGCTCTTTTGAAAATTCGTTCGATGAAACCTGCTGGAGCTCCTCAGATTGGCATAACGACAGCTTCCATCGAGCAGATTTTGGCAGCAGGTCAGTAAGTTGTTCTTGAACTGACTTCTCTCCGTCAAATATTGACAGTACGCCAGTTTTGACATAAAATTGTATTATAAACTTACCTTTAGAAATATCGGTCAGTTTTGAAGTTATATTTTTGTCTGCTTCAAGAACTTTCACCATTTCAGTTATACCAACTTTCTTTGCTTTATGAAAATATTTTGGTTCAGCAAAGACTGCTATTCTATAACATTTTCCATTGTTTGTATAAAGAACTATTCTGTCAATGTATTTGTATTGTTTGTGTGTGTAAACTTTGTTCTGCTTCAATTCGAAGAGATACTCAATACGTCCATCTTTTTATTCTAAGTAAAATGTCATTTCCGAAAAATAGAAGCGTAAGTGTTTCAAAAGGTTTAATGGCAGTGGCAGATGTGAAGTTAAATTCACCAACTCAAAAAACAGTCAAAGTGTTATTGTCAATGTCAAAGAAGAGATGTTGAAGTGGGGAAACCATACGAAGACAAGATGGTATAACAATAGTTCCTGTAAAAGAACAACCAACATACCCTGAAGTTAGCAGAGACTTAAGTTCTGTTGCAGATATTCGAAACGACTACCAACAACTGAAAGACAAACTTCAAACTCAGGAGAAGATTTGTCAAGCTTTAAGTATAATGTTAAACTTGGTCGAACACAACCCTGTAAAAGTGAACTCATATGTCATTGCACCTCATGAAGTTTTGAAAGAACTATTGAAACTTTTGACAGAGGCAGACGATATAAACATCAAAGAAATAGAACCCGACGTTAGTTGCTGTGGTGTTTCATATAATGTCATTGACAAGATATACGTTATGAAAGGAGGTGAAACGTTGAACTTAAAATATAGTTTCCCAGACGTTATAAAAATATTTGACGACCACAACATTTCATTAAAATTTATTTGCTAAGTAAATGGCAGAAGACACAATGGTTTATACTATTACGACTAAAACCCTGAGTCATATAATTCTATAACAACAAACTTACAAAGTCCTCAAGGACGATATTGTAAACTAACTTTAAACACAATGACGACTAAAGCTGTTTTGCTCTTTTGACACCAGAAGATTTTATTGTTGTGAATGGTAAAAAATACTCCTTTGAAGATACTTACTCAGATATACCACCAACAGGTTTTGTTGACTTATTTAATACTTTAAGTACGGTGTAACATGTGCTGCAACTAGAGCAGGTTTCATTATGTTTGGATGTCCGACTGAGTTTACTATAAAACAATATGAGCTATAATACAAAACTTATATCTGGTTTTTACTACCAACAGTTTCCTATAACAGGAAAAGGTGTCATACAAGGAATGTCTGTTCCATTGACTTTAAGTACACCTATTTTATATATTGTTTCAAACTTAGGTTCAAAGTGTTATTCGAATGTCGACAGAAACTACTATGACCAAAAGATACTTATGCGTATAAATAACACATTCTCTGCTGGTTTGCCTATTGTTCATTCGAATGCAGAGTTTTCAGCTTTAGTAAACTCAAACACTTTAGCAAACATAAACTTAACCTTAGTTGACGCAAACTTTGTTCCTGTAAAACTTTTATGTCCTATGTATTTGTCAATGACGGCAGAAAGTTTCGAATTGGAAGATGCAACTGGTGAAAGTATTGTATTACAAGAACAACTTCAACAACAAATAGCTCAAGAACAACAAATGCAACAAATAGCTCAAGAATAAAAAAAAATATTTTTTTTATTTTTATAAAAATGTACAGAATAGATGTTTCAGATTTTTATGACTTCCAAACATTCAGAAATATGTGTCCATTTAGAGACTATAACAAAGCAGTCGAGAATTTGAAACGTTTAGTCATTTATGTCGACTCTGCCCAGAATGTTATGTTATGAAAGAATGGGATGTAGTCTTTAACAAACCTAAAGCGACAATAGTTTCAGAACAAGAATGTAAACAGAAACTTAAGAAAATAAAAGTCGTACAAGTTGGCATGAAGATGTTAGATGCTTGGGATATCTTATTGTCAAAGTTGAAGATTTTTCAGTTCGTGGTATAAAGTTTTATACACCTTCTCCAAACTTCTATTCTATCTTCACTGGATATAAATACGAACAAGTAGAATGGAAAGAAAATATTATAGAAGCTTGGTTAGACCATGTCAAAGAAATTATATGCAATGGAAACGAAAGAGTCTATGAGTATATCTTATGTTGGTTTGCAAACATCTTACAACATCCAAGTGCTAAGAATGAAACTGCTCTCATTATAATTGGAAAACAAGGAACAGGTAAGAACACGTTCTTTACAGATATCTTATGCAAACTGTTAGAGGGCTATTCGAACCCGAATATGACAAACTTAGAAAACATCTGCGGTAAATTTAACTCTTCAATAGAGAATATGAAACTTATAGTATGTAACGAACTTCAAAGTATAGATACAACAAAAGTTTTGAACTCAGATGCTTTGAAGAGTCTTATAACAGACAAAGTTGGAGTTGTTGAAAGAAAATATAAAGACCAAAGAGTTTGTGAAAATGTTGCAAACTTCGTTATGGTTTCAAACAATGCTGTTCCGATGAAGTTAGAAAGTTCTGACAGAAGATATGTAGTTGTCAGAACGTCAGATTCTCATATGCAAGATACAGAATATTTTGACGCTTTGTCAGAAACTTTGACATCTGACTTTTACAACCACTTGTTCTCATATTTTATGACATTAGATATTTCAAAGTTCAATCCAAGACAAATTCCACATACCGAAGAGAGACAAACATTGTTAGAAGCAAACAAGAGTGTATATGAACTGTTCATAGATGAAACTGACTTTGAGTGTTTAGATGAAAGGTCATTGTACGATTCGTATAAACAATATTGTCAAGAATATGGTTATATGACAGCGTCTAAACGAACATTCTTGGCAAATGTCAAAAGTCTTTTAGACGTACAGAATGGTGTATATACAAAGAAAAATTTTTCTGAGTAAATTTTAAAAAAAAATATTTTTTTATCCGATAGAAAAGATGACGAAATTCATCTCAGTAAACAAGTACATGTCAGGACTTAAAGAAGAACTAGACCCATTCACATATTTGAATGTTTACTTCTACCATTTTGAAAAGTCTTCATTCAGCAAAGTTTGGAACATCGAACCAGTTAAGTTTGCTATTGTGACTAAAAATGGTGCGAAATTTGAAGACTTAGACATAGAAGGTTTGTTAACAGTCAAAGAAAGTTTTGACAGAAGGTTCTCAAACCTTAAAGAAGGCAAAGCATACAAACTTGTTATACCTTATGAACCAAAGAAAGCAGACGACTATGAATATTATGAGTCTAAAGTTGTAGAAGTTCAAGGTAAATTGAGTAAAAAGATTTTAGAGTCTAAGCCAGTGTTTGCTCCTAAAGAGGAAGAGAACATTGACATTGACCCAGAAATGTTCTAAAAATAAAATTTTATTTTTACATGTCAAATTTCTTTTTCTCTGGTTCAGGTTCTTTCTTCTCTTCTTCTACTTTCTTTTCTTTCTTTTCTCTCTTCTTCTTTTCTGGTGGAGTTATGTCAAATTTCTCCGAACCATATTTTTGTAAAAGTTCTTTGTCCTTTAATAGCTCTTCTATTCTGTTTTCTATTTCATCTTCAAGAACAGTGCATGTGTCTTCTTTGCATTCTAAGAAGTTTTGTTGGACTTCATCTCTCCAAGAGGCGTCATCTCTGTCAACAAGTCTGTCATTGACAAATTTTAAGACTTCTCTGCTTAATGTTTTATGGTTCTTGTCATATTCCCAGAAACAGAACTTTAGAACAAATTCACCTTTCTTGTTTACACTATGTAAGATTTTATGGTCGACAGATGTTTTGCTGTCGAAAAGCTTGTCTCGAATATAGATAGCGAAATCGCTAGACATTTTCTAAAAGATAAAAATTTTAATTTTTCTAAAATATGTTAGAAAAAAAGTTTGCTGACATTGACAAAAAATTTGAGAATGTTTTAAATAAGAACAAGAGGAAGTTGGAAAATGCTCAGATAAAACCCATACATGACAAGTTCTTATTTGCTCAGAATGGTATAACAGGTCTAATTGCACCACCTGGGTCGGGTAAGACTTTCACTTATCTTAAAATGGCTGCACAACAACAAGAACTAGATGAGAAGAACCCATTCTATGAGTTAGTTGTTATTTGTAGTACTTCTGGTCAATTTGACCAAACCGTCAATTCGTTCAAAGATATTATAAAGAAGTCTAAGTTAGTATGTATAAAGGATACTGAGTTGTTAGATTGGATAAAGAAGTACCAAAGAAGAGTTTTGAAGTACAATGCTATAAATGAGTATATAAATTCTAAGTTTAAAGACCCAAATGAGGAAATGCAGAGAATATTAGAGAAGAAACACTTCAGAAACAAACAGAAAGAGATAGAATACATTTCGAAGAAATTGCAATCTTACGATTGGAAGACTTACCCTCATAGATGTCTTCTTATCTTAGATGACTTTGCTTCTCATCCTTTGTTAAAGAACAGAGAACAAGACATGTGTCGAATTCTTAAGAAGCTCAGACACTTTAACATCTCAGTTGTCATTTGTGTACAGACAGCAAAGAGTTTAAGTAAGGATGTAAAGAGAATACTTACTGACATTGTACTTTTCCCCGGATTGTCCGAAGACGATTTCATGGAACTTATGAAAGAGTCCATGGCAGGTAAGTTTGACAGACATGAACTATGGGAGAAGTACAAAGTCATACAAGACCCTCATACTTCTTTCAGAATTCACATCTACGCAAACAAAGTTCAAATTGTAAAAAGTCAAGCTTGAAAAAATAAATGGTTCATTTACTCTGCTTGTTTGAAGTTGTCAAAATACTCTGTTATTTTTTCTTTCAGTAGCGGCAAATCTTCTTTGAAGGTAAGTATTGTACAACCTTTAATATCATAGTGTGTTTGAGGTAAAGTATCTTGAACTATTTGTTTCACATCTTCATTTGGTGTCATTGAAATCGGTAAGTTTTCGCGATAGAACCAATTTCTGTCAGATTTGTAAATCTTAGCAAGGTCGTAAAAGCTTTTGTTGTTTCTTCTGACTAAATGCAACATAACCATATCTCTGTCTTCTTCTTTCTCCATCTCTTCAGTATAAATCATATACTTATAGTTCTTTTCCTTTCCTTTTGGTACCGAACGTGGTATTCTTTTCTGAATGCTTTTGTCTTCTTTCATCATATCTTCTCTCTGCTTTGTACAAAGTTCGTCAAGTAGCATAAGTATGTAGATTGCATAACGAGGTGAAGCCCACATTGCTATTGAACTAACTAGGAACTTATGAACATATATACCTTTTAGATGTGATGGTAAGTTTTGTCTGTCTTGGTACATCTTTTTAAGTTCTACATGTTCGAACTCACTGAGGAGTTCATGAGTGCTATTTAATTCAAACCAGTCGTCTGCGTGTTTAGTATCTGGAGCAAAACATGCTGTCAAAATACTTTGCATTTGGTACATGTCATCTTTGACCGAACGAATGAGACGGAGTTGTTTGTTTAACTGAACCCACTCGTATTCTTCATTTATGGCTTCATGGACGATAGCAGTTGTTGTGTTCTCTGTTGTTGACATATCTGTCTTTACATACAAAATAAAAAAATTTGTTAGAAAAAAATTAGCGTTATTTTTTTTAAGTTTGGTCATCCTTCACTATATGACAAATATACTATATTTTACTTAAAAATATGCAAGCGGCTCATAGCTCAGTGGTATGGGCTACCTCGCTACAGGCGTCGAAGACCTCGGTTCAAATCCCGATTCGCGCAGGTTTTTTCCTTTTATGCAGTGAAATTTCATGTACATAGGTTACTTTGGTGTTAGACCCAAGTGAAGAAAATAGAACGATATAAGTTTACATTTGTAAGGTTACTTTGGTGTTAGACCCTAGTGAAGAAAATAGAACGATATAAGTTTACATTTGTAAGGTTGGACGATAAAAATCTCTGCTACTGTCAGTACAAGTATTGTTCTGAAACAGTACAAGTATTGTTCTGAAACAGTACAAGTATTGTTCTGAATCAGTACAAGTATTGTCAAAACTCAACGGTTTGACACATGCCCTAAAAATTATTTTACTCAGAATTTTATACAGAATTCGGCAAAAATATATTTTAGGTGAAGAGGTGAGTTCTCACCTGTTTTTTCACCTGTTTTTTCACCCTCTTGAATTTTCATGAATTTCCTTAAGATAGAAAAAATAAAATTAGCGTTATTTCCTGACTTTCACAAAAGACCAAAAATAAACGCTTTACATGTATTTTTCAGCAACTTCGTCAAATAATTTTATAGCTTTACCTATCTCATCTACTTCAAACGTTTCTTTACCTTTCGTGGGAGCACCATACATTTTCTCAAACTTTTCAAGTAGTTCTGTTTCAGCAGCTCTCATATCGTTAACGAACACAACCTTAACTCTATTGACTATACTGTCATATCTTTTAGTTATATTATATGTTCTTCCCATCTTATATCTCTTTGTATTGAAGTCCTTCGGTTTCTGAACGATGTAAAGTAAGCCTTCACTGCAACGTTCCGTATCGAATGAACCATATGTTATGAAGTTATATCCAACAACTGGGTCTAACCATAACAAAACTATTGGTATAAGACTTTTGTCTATAAGATATGCTCTTGTTCCATAGAATGCTACTGATATCATAAGCTCAGGATTTCTTGTCAAAATTTTCTGAGTAGAAGCAGTTCTAACCCAGTCGTGGGATGTTTTCTTTCCAGATGGAGATATAATGTCTGACAAAGAATATTTCTTGTATTTCTTTGAGTATCTTACGTTTAAATCACCAATTCGAACCACTTTGGTGTCATTGTCTATCTTTCTAACTGTTTCAAACTCAATGTTTGTCATTTTCTGTTCTTACATACAAGATAAAAAATATTTTTTTAAAAAAACTAACTTTATTTTTTCTATCTTGTATCTTAAGGAAATTCATGATTTTCATGTATAAAAGATATGATTTTAGGGATTTTTTTGACGAAGTGTCAAAGTTCACTTGGTAAAAAAATAACAGTTATATAATGAAATTTGGTCATTTTTTTCACGATTTTAGGGATTTTTTTGACGAAGTGTTAAAGTTCTCTTCGTAAAAAAATAACAGTTATATAATGAAATTTGGTCATTTTTTCACGATTTCAGGGATTTTTTTGACGAAGTGTCAAAGTTCTCTTCGTAAAAAAATAACAGTTATATAATGAAATTTGGTCATTTTTTCACGATTTCAGGGTAGATGGTTTTTAGGTGTCACCAGGTCCCTCGGTCCCTCGGTCCCTCGGTCAACTAACATCTTTTTGAAAATGGTGACAACATGACATTTTGACAACAGTCGGGAAATAAACTTCTTCGTATATGTTTTGTCATGATTTCATCGAAATGAGTGTATATGTTTTGTCAAACATGAGCGTAAATGAACCAAAAATATATTTTAGGTGAAGAGGTGAGATCTCACCTGTTTTCTCACCTCTTTTTTCACCTCATATGTCCTTACTGAAAAAGTATGTGTTCCATATGCCATTTTACTCGGCAAAAATATATTTTAGGTGAAGAGGTGAGATCTCACCTGTTTTCTCACCTCTTTTCTCACCTCTTGAATTTTGTATAAAAGATATGATTTCAGGGATTTTTTTGACGAAGTGTTAAAGTTCTCTTCGTAAAAAAATAACAGTTATATAATGAAATTTGGTCATTTTTCAGCAAAAATATATTTTAGGTGAAGAGGTGAGATCTCACCTGTTTTTTCACCTCTTTTCTCACCTGTTTTTTTTCACAAGCGTTTTACATGAATTGTACGATGTATATTTGAAATTCTAAACAGTTTTGTAGCTTCTATTTCTTCTGTCAGTACATCGAATGTTTTAACTATGCCGAAAGTCTCTTTATATTTCTTCTTGACATCAGATAGAAGGAAATCTTCTGCAGTTGGATAGTTTTT